CTAAGAATAAGACAAACCTCAAGCACAGAGGCAACTTCGAAGCATATGAGCAGATAGAAAAACGCTCTTATGATTGTGGTTGGAATTGCACCAGCCAGTAAAGCATGGCCTTCTTTGTAATCCGAGATAAGTTCCCACACTGCATCATAGCCCTTCGACTTTCCAGGTAGTGCAAGCTGAAAAAGTTTGCGCAAAGAAAACTCGGGAGAGGGAGGCTGTGCGCTGAATTATACTCTATTTTTCCACCTTAAAACACTCACATGTTCATCTTCCTCGGGTGTGACATCAATCTCGATATCCATTCTGCCAACAGATGAATACTTATAGTCCAGACGTTGTGATCGTTTTTTACTCATGACTGTAACAGTAGTGCTAAGCGTGGTATTAGAGCAGACCTGGCGAACAACTAGGTATGCATACCGGGAAGTGCAAGTTTCTCTCTGTCATGACTCAGGACTGAGTACGATTTGCCAAGTTTTTGTTTTGAACTTCCAGATGAGCTGCGATTAAGGGCTCTGCGATTGTGACCGAAGGACTGCAAAAGCACTTATAGGTATTGACGCAGTCAAATAAAATTAATAGCAATACTAGTAAATGAGAGTCGTGGAAGTATTGCTACTTGGACGTTACCTAACTTCTACACCGATTTATGATAGATTATCTATTATGATGTTAAATTTAAATATCCATTATCACTCAATTGAAACTAACTTTGTCACTTGCAAAATGTAAAAGTAAATCAAAATTTACAATTTGTGGGCGGTAGTACTGTCCAAGAGTTACAGAAGCATGGGGAGTAAGATTTGATTTGTGTGAAGCATGAGCCAAGATGTCCACACGCTGGTCGTTGTAGAGCTAAATGGGCTGTTGCTCATAAAGCTTCCCTTAAGATTGGTTACAACAAACTTTCTGAAATCTTCCTCCTTCTTTACCCAAAAGTTCATCGGGTGGTCCCTCTTCTACAATACGACCTTCTTCTAATACGATAACACGATCACAATTTCTTACAGCAGTCATTCTGCAAAAGTGAAAGCAAACTGCAAGCTTATCCAAGCCTGTAGTAAGTTTATTGCATTATGTTACTCTACCTGTGTGCAATAGTTATCGTGGTTAAACCCTCGGAAGCGAGATCGATCGCATTCTGAACCTCTTCTTCATGAATACTATCCAAAGCTGATGTTGCCTCATCAAACAACATTACAGTTGGCTTCCTCAAACATTTCATTAAAAGAAAACTGTAGACAGCAAACATGAATCCTCATCTCAGGTTTAGCAAATTTTACTGGTAAAACCACAAAGCTTTAGTAAACCCTCCTTCCTGATGTCGAAAAACAACTCATCTACGTTATATCTCAAATTCATAATCGCGACTATCTAAGCCAATTACTAGTCGGTTAATTGAGGAGCGTTCTCGAAGACACTCAACACATTTGTATTCCCGCTGTTGCCTGATTCAAGTGCAGTTATGAATGGCGCGCAGGCACAC